TGCGCTCGATGGTGGACGTGCTGGCGGACCACGCGGGCGAGCTCGTGCGCACCGACAGCCCCAACTTCCTCTGCTCGGTGCTGCCCTCGCACTGGCGCTGCAACAAGACACTGCCCGTCGCCTTCAAGGTGAGTGCGGGACCCGGGGCGGGAGGGCGCCGGCTCTGGGACTCCGGGCGTCCAAGCTGCGGGAGCCAGAGCCTCCGGAGCAGTGGGGAGGGGAGGTGCCCCAGACGCCGCGGCGACACCTGGGCACCCGGTTCTGTCTCGCTGCGCACTCGGCTTGGGGACATCGGCATTCCGTTTTGGATGCGCCCTGCACGGATGACTTTTAAGGGGGTTGCCCCGCTCCACCTGGGTTTTAGGGCGCCCTGCGTAGAGACGTTGGTGCGGAAATGGGCGGATGGGGTTTTGGCCCCCCCCCACCCGGATCGCTCAGATACAGCCCTGCGGGTAACGGAGAAGAGGATCCCGGGACCGGGGCAAGGACACCGCGGGTGGGGTGCGAACGGTGAAAGGGCCTACCCTCCGCCGCCAGCACCCCTCCTCCCGCGCCGCTTCTCAGACGCTTCCTGCTCACACCCTCGGGCTTCTGAAATTTTACGGGACGGCGCTAGGCCGGGATCGGGGCACTGCTCTCCAGACGTTTGCTGGGGGATATTCTGCGTCCTGAATGGCGGGTTGAGATTGGGGGACCCCTAACTCTGGCAGCCCCCAGCCATTTAGAGGACCTTTTTCTTTATGCCAGGGAGTAGGCGACTGTTTCATTTTCATTTTTTTAAGGGGGCAGCGAGATGAAACGAAAACGCCTCGGTTTTCCCCTAAACCTCTCACAGCTGCCGTGAGAAAAGGGCAGGGCAGGAAGGGCCGGCGGCTGGGGGTGGTGCTGCCCGAGGTGGCTGGAAGCGGCGACCGCTGGCAGCTGAGGCCGTCCCTGCTCCCATTAAGACGACTCCAAATTGGAAAAAAAGGATGAGTGGCTCTTTGAGGTCTCTCGGGTGACATCTTAAAATACCAGTGGGGGAAATCTCCCCGGGAGGGGGGGAGGCCCGTGTGACTTTAATCGTCAGATCGTCAGATCGGAGGTTTTACTGTCACTTGGAGCTTAAAAGGAGTCTTTGAAATTAAAAGAAGACAGGATGTTGACAGGAAATCTGGCCTTTTTAATCAGATCCCAAACATTTTCTCCTTGAAATTTTTACCATATGGATCCCCAGTCCCTGCACGCGGCGGCCACGTTTAAATGGTTGTGGCTGTGTTTAAAGTCTGATTGTTTTTCAAAAGGCATCTGCCTCTCCGTGCTCCTGGGGGTGGGGGACTTGGGGGAGATGGTGTTTAGGAGGACATCGCCACCCCCATCCTGCAGTTCCCAGCAGGTGCATCCTTCCATTATCAAAAGACCCCCTCTCACTTTAAAGGGGTTTTCTGGGTGACCTTTTTCAAAACACCAGTGAGTTTTGCATTCTGCATTTTCTCTGCATAACGAATTTAGGCTCTGCAGAGGCTAATAAACTGGTCCTCGTCCACACTTCAGGGCCAAATTTCATGCCCTAAACAGCTCTTGCATAAATTGAGTGGGGGTAGCAGCCCTGTTGTTATTATTGTTGATACTCTTTTTCGCTTGGAGACTTCGTTGCTAGGAGCATGTTGATTCCTCTTTCGCTGCAGCCGAAGACGACAGGGGAACTGCACCCCACATCATAGTGACTGAGCTGATTTCACAGCTCTGGCTGAGATTTCACTGAAAGGATGATTTCTTGGGACACGGTTTATGTAAGCAGTTGATCTAGGATTTTGGTGTGGAAGTCTGAGATTCCATCTTCTTGTTTTTGTGATATTTGAGGGAAGGTCTTTATTGTTTTTAAGCCTCTTCTCCACCCTGCATTGGAGAAATACGCAGTGCGCCTGGGACCTAGGGGAGCTGCCCAGCCCAGCCCCTCCCTTCCTTTCCCTGAGCTCGCTCTTCCTTTCTAAGCTGTCCCCCTGCATCCCCCCCTGCCCCATGTCTTCAGGTGGTGGCACTGGGGGACGTGCCAGATGGCACCGTGGTGACCGTGATGGCAGGCAATGACGAGAACTACTCCGCTGAGCTGCGCAACGCCTCGGCCGTCATGAAGAACCAGGTGGCCAGGTTCAACGACCTTCGTTTTGTGGGCCGCAGTGGGCGAGGTAAGTGGAAGGGAGGCCTCGCCAGTTCAGCATTGGCAATGGCAGAGGCAGCAGGGAAGGAGGTTGAAAGAGGGGCCTTAGAATCCCGAAAAACAGGTCCCTAGACGCAGCTGTCTAAAAACAGCAATTTGTAATCCTGTAGGACGTTACAGATCGCTTTGAGGGGGTGAGGAAAGTTATAGTCTCTCGCCAGAAAAAGACACAGTTTTCTCCCAGTTTCTAGGGTTTACCAACTCCTGAAACCGTTCATGCCACCCCCTCTTTCCTGGTTAAGCACACCTGGTCTCACAAAAAATGCTGGCACGAAATGGTGGATTAGCAGGCTCAAAAAGGGAGCTTATAGGTCTTTCAGCAAGGCGGTTGCAGGACAAGTGCCTGGTCGGTGGGGCCCAAGCACCCCAGCCACCCTCTCCATAGGGGGCAGAATCTCCCCCACACCTCAGGCTCCATCTCTCCAGCTGTGGTCTCCCAGACCCAGCTTCCCAGCCCCTTTGAGCCCTAGGTGGTCTGGAATGGAAGCTAATGCAGCTGAATGTTGGAAAGCACAGCTCGAAGGCTGCCATCTCCTGCCCCAGAGTCAAGGCTGGTGTGCCACCCTGCCTGTCTGACCGACCTTGGGCAGTAGAAGGAAGGCGGGACAGGGGTGGGGGGCTGTTGAATGGGAGGCTTCTGGACCTGAAACCCATCATCACTTAACTCCTGGGTGGGAAAGTCCTAGAAACCCTGCCCCTGTGGAATGCAGGCCTGAGGGTCCACTGGCCCTTTAAGACCAGGAGACGTGGGAGTCGCCCTTCCCAAGCATCAGGCCCGCCTCCAGCTTTGTTAAGAAGTAAGCCGGGTGCCCTCTGCTCCCCAACTCCACGCAGGCTGAAGCAGAACCGTGCTTTTCATCACCAATAAAGAGGACCTTCTCAAGGTTCTAGTTCCTTCTGAGCCGCTAGTCCTGCTCTGAAACAGGCAGCTGGGCACCATTTTTTTCCTTTCCAGCCATTCAATGTATACATACAAATGTCAACCATATTTTGACTTTTCAGCATTAATTAAAACCAGGACATTATTTGCATGTAATAACTGTTTACTTGTTACTTTTTATGAAACTGAAATAGTTTACATTCTTTCAAACATTTCCTGTTCCTGTTGGCTCCCTTCCCCACGCACAGATTTCTTTCAAACGGTGCCCCTAACTGGTTGCAGGTTGATGGATGGAAAATGTTTCCTTTTACGAATTAAGCTTTCATTGCTGCTCCTAATTAGTCTCCAAGTCCCTTTTGTCATCCACAATCTCTCAAACCCTTTGCAACTTAATCCCAGCCCTGAGAGGAGAGTCACTGGTCCCTGGTCGGTGGCAGACAAGGCTGACGGCTCTGTTGACTGCGGGGCAGTGGCCAGGTCTGCTAGCCCAGGTGCGTGTCAGGGGCACTATAGCTGCTGCCTGTTGCGAGGCAGGCAGAAGGTGCTGTCGATCGGGGAGCCCAACAAGGCATCAGGAACTTGATTCTTCCTTCCCACTCCCTCTCCTGAGAGGTGAGATAAAGAGAAGAGACGACGATTTTCTGAGTTACCAAGACCTTGTCTGGCCGTTCTGCACACTGAGAATGATTTTTTTTAGTGGTTTTCATACCCACAGACTTTGAGCCCCGCTCCCCAGGCCTGCAGGGAAGGAAACGGGTTTCCAAAGCGTTGGTTGGGAGCTTACCCTTGTAGCAGGAATGGCTGAGGGTGAGATTGTGGCTCTGGGAGATGCAAGAGGCTGAGTTTATAAACCATTCTCTCATCCATCTCCTCTCAGTGGTCCATAACCAGTCTCAGTGGTCCTGGGAGGCAGGAAGTGATCTGAGGAGGAGTTCCGATGTCTGAGGAACTGTGGCTGAGGCATTCAGCCTTCAGAGGCTCGAGGTCTTTGAGAGCCTGCATTCTAGTATCGGGCACCCTGTATGTGAGTCCCAGCTCTGCTGATGACTTGCTGGATGACGTTGGGCAAATGACTTAACCAGTCTGTGCCTCAGTTTCCTCAGCTGTGAGATGGGGATGATAGTCATACCTACCTCATGAGATTTTGGGAAGGTTAGAGAAATTGATACAAGTGTATCAGCTGGCGCATACTGAGAGCTGGATACATGTTAGAGATTTTGTTACTTCAAATGCTTGGGACTGGAGGAGGACTTTGAGGTCCCTTTGAGCGGTGACAGCCACTGATTCTCTGATTACTGTGTGGTTTGGGCGGGGGTGGGGGAAACCCAGAAGGTGTGAGCTGCTGAGTGGGAGAGGTGGAGGCGGTTGGCAGGGAGGAAGGAGGGTGCCGGGTCCGCTGGCATGCAGACACACATCTGCAGTGCCCATCCTGCCAACTGGGAAATTCCCACCTGAGAGAACAGTCAGCGGTCGACAGTGACAATCTGGGCCACTTTAGGAGATGGGACACTTTGGACTTAAGGTCTGGGGTTGGGACCCAGAACCCTTGCCTGGCTCTCTGACTTATGCCAGAACTGAGAAGTCTGGTGGAAACCTCTGCTTGTTTCCTCAGAAACAAGTTCTACATTCTGTCTGAATTCCAGGAAGATGGCTTTCCATGAAAGACATGCACCCAGTAACACCACAGAGCTCTTACGATAGGGCTGAAGGTGTGAAGCAAGAAAAGGAAGGGAAGAAAACCAGGTCATCGCTGTCTCCTGCAGTGATTAGGGCCGAGGTCCCTGCCCTGCCAGACGCAAGGAGTCTATCTTACAATATATATTTTGTATCAAACCTTACTATTCTACATTGAAATGTGTAAATAATGTAACCTCCCTATTGACATGCAGTTGCAAACTACGTTATTCCATAGCTGTGATGGAGAAGAAAAGGAAAAGTAGTTTATAATAAAACCCTGATTTGAATATGTAAATGTTGAGGCCAGAGGACTGCATGAGGTGGACGAATGCCCTCTACACAGAAGCCCACAGCAGAGGGGACAGACAGGGTGGCAGAACTCAATCTGAACCTGGCCTGGCCAATACCATGACTTTCTGAAGTTGTCAACAACTCTTGGCAAAGCGCGGAACAAAATTTAAAAAGAAAAAGAAAAAAGAACTGTCTTTCCTTCTGGAAAATTCAGTAGATATTAAAAGTACCAAAAAAAAAATCCCTTATTTTATGTAAAACTGAATTAGGTTCATGACTCAGAGAATTTTTTCTTTTACTTTTTTTTGGGACAGGGTCTCGCTCTGTCACCCAGGCTGGGGTGCAGTGGTGCGGTAACTGCAGCCTCAACCTCCTGGTCTCAAGCAGTCCTCCCACCTGAATAGCTGGGACTATGGGCATGCGCCACCACGCTCAGCTGATTTTTTAAAATTATTTTTTGTAGAGATGGGGGTGTTCTTCACTGTGTTGCTCAGGCTGGTCTTGAACTCCTGGACTCAAGCGATCCTCCCGCCTCAGCCTCTCAAAGTGTTGGGATTACAGGCATGAGCCACCGCTCCCAGCCAGAGGACTTTTATAAGCAAGTTTTTCCCTCCTAGGAAGAATGAATCTTCACCACCCTGGGCAGTGCTGGGTGCTGGCGTACCCCACCACATACACACACCCCACCCCTAACGCTGGCAGTGCCACCCCAGCACTGTGGTGACCACACACCACTGCAAATCCCAAAAATGCCCCTCTAGCAGGCGGCCACTGGCCTAGGTGAAAATGAAAAGCACATGGTCTCCTGAGCTGTGATCAACTAGTTAAAAAGCAACCGTATGTCCATGGAGATTCGGGGTGCGGTGTGCTGGTGCAGGCTGAGGGAAACCACTGGTTGGGGGAGAGATGGATGGCTTCTTGGCTGAGGTTGAGAAAACCCCAAGGTCCCCTGAGACAGACCCGTCCCCTCCCCCGCCCATGCAGCTCCTGTGGGTGGGGCGGAGACCTTCTACACATAGGAACCCAGGCAGAGAGGCTCAAGGACTTGCCTGAGGCCACGCTGCCACCCTGGTTGGTTCATGGTGGGTCCTGGAGGAGTTTCTGGAGCCCTAAAGGAAACCCATTTCCGAGACCGAGACTTCTCCCTTGCAACCAGGGCCAGCCTTCGGAGAGCCTGGGTTTACACTTCCTGGGCTCCTGACAGATTGCAGGTTTGCCCAGGGCTCCTGCACGGAGTTATATCTAGACGCTGAGAGAGAGGGATGGATGGGTTTGCCGCTGCCGGGCAGAGAGAGAGCTGGGCAGGGCCAGGGGAGCTGAGGGGCACTCAGGGCGACAGCTTTCTCCCACCCCTGCTCCCTAGGCTCCCTGTCTCCTGAGGTCCCGACGCCTGCCCCTTCCTCTCACTCCTCCTCTTAGGCCCCACACTCCTCTCCTTTGTACTTGGGCAGAGGTGGTGACAGGTTCAGAAGCTGGTGGAAGTGGCTGAGGAGTGCTGGTGACCTCAGGGGTGGCATGTGGTTTGCTACCTGGTGGGAGTGGGGGCTTCTCACTTCTCTTAGTACCTGTGTGGAGGGGCAGGTTCCGGCACATTCTGACTTTTCTGAGTCCTGCCTGGATACTGTGTGACCTGCTCAACTCACTGCTCCTCTCTGAGCCTCAGTGTCCTCATCTGCAAAATGGGAGCCATTATCTCCGCCCTTAATTTATTTAACAAATGTTGTTGAGCACCTACTATGTGCTAGATGCTGTCCTAGGGGCTGGAGACACCGCATGAACAAGACAGAAACTGGGGCCCTTGGGGAGCTTATAATCTAGTAGAAGGAGACAAAATGAGTAGATGAATTATTAAAAGCATACGCATCGTGAGAACATTCCAGCAGGTGCAGGGAATAGAGAAAGGGAGTAGGAGGGCCTGTGGTACTTCAGGTTGAGCTGCTTAGCCCTTTGTTTTTGTTTTTGTTTTTGTTTTTGTTTTCCTATGGGCCCCTCTGATATCTGGTGAAGCCCACACACCTTTCTCAGAATAATGATTTTTCTAAGGTATAAAATCAAATGCACAGTATTACAATGGAAACCAATTCTATTAAAACATAGCAAAATACTTTAAAAATTGTGGTAAATGTACTGTTTTGTTCAGTGTATTAAATAAGATCTAACATTGGGTCTAATGATGACCATGATTTTGAAGTTGTGACGAGCATAAAAGATATTTAGAGAAATCTGCAGCAACTGTAATGTGATATGTAAGTATCTGTGACGTCTGTTGGTGACAAGGTCACAGGTACGGCTGATAATACCTCTGTGGTTTGTTGCCTACGCTCATGCTTGAGAGTGATGCTAAATTTCAGTTAGAGGTTAGGGACAATACAGTTGTAATTTTTTCCTATCCCAGTTTTCAGGCTCGTTCAATTCTATGGAGCCAAGTTAAAAACGCCTTCTAGGCGTAGTGGCTTACACCTGTAATCCCAACGCTTTGGGAGGCCAAGGCGGGAGGATCACTTGAGCCCAGGAGTTCAAGACCAGCCTGGGCACATAGTAAAAGCTTGAAAAAAAAAAGAAAAAAGAAAAAGAAAGAAGGGGGCGGGGGAGGGAGGGAAGGAAGGAAGGAAGGAAGGAAAGAAGGAAGGAAGGAAGGGAGGGAGGGAGGGAGGGAGGGAGGGAAGGAAGGAAGGAAGGGAAGGAGGGAGGGAGGAAGGAAGGAAGGAAGGAAAGGAGGGAGGGAGGGAGGGAGGGAAGGAAAAAAAAATTAGCCAGGCGTGGTGGCGCTCACCTGTTGTCCCAGCTACTCAGCAGGCTGAGACAGGAGGATCACGAGCCAGGGAGGTCCAGGCTGCAGTGAGCTATGATCATGCCACTGCACTCCAACCTGGGTGACATAGCAAGACCTTGTCTCAAAAAAATAAATTAAAATTAAAAATGCCTACTTCAGATAAAGTAGATAAAGTGACCAGGGAAGGCCTGACTGAGAAGGTGGGTGACCTGAAGGAGCATTTTAGTAAACTTTCAAATGCTGCTGTGGGCCCAAGGCCCTGTGACAGGGCACTGGGGCCCATTAGTCCTCCGGGACAGAGTCTGGCCCCCAGGGCTCTGGGCTGTCTGCCTAAACTCCCCATCATAACCAAGAAGGTGCTGGACAATGCTGGCAGGGTCAGAGGCTCAGGGACCCCAGGGGAGTGCTGGGCTGGTTAGAGGAGGAAGGGGTCCAGGAGAGAAATGACCTCAGAGTGAGGAAAGGCAGTAGCGGGTGGTCGGGCAGGGAGCCCGAGGCGTCTGCCTGGCACTTCCCTAGACCATCTACACTTTCTGCTTCCAGAAATCATGCAAAGTGGCCCTGTGACCTGAGAGTGGGAGACCAGGTCTGTTCTGACCTGGGGCTCCGGGGGCAAGTGCAGTCAGAATTTCCATCCCTGCCTCAGCCGGCTGCCTTAGGGAAAGGCTTCCAGAGAAGCCCCTCGTTTCCCAGAGTCACACCTCAGTGGGTCTTGAGCTTTAAATTCCCCCTGGTGTCTCAGAGGGCCTTGAGTCCTGTGGCATGGCTCCTGGCAACCTGGCTGGTTTAATTTTGTTCTGGATTCTCCTGCCTCTGGGTCTAGGCTTTTCACTTGATCAGTTGACCTACAAGTACCCGGCCGTGCAAAGAGAACTGTGAGATACTGGTCTCCACCCTGAGCTTCATCTCCCACCTGCAACATGGGGATGTTGAAACCTACCTGCTTACCTTGGAGGCTTGTCAGGGGGACACCAGAGGGATGCGCTTGGGCAGCCTCCCTCGGTGACCATCCAGTGCCAGCCCTGGGGTACAGGTGAGAGTGTGAGACCATTGGCCCCTACCCACAGGGAGTTCCCAGACCTGTACGTGGGATCCAGAGGCAGGGATGGGGGATAAATCTGGCTTGGGGGATCTGCAAATCTCCCCCGCTCCCTGCCACCAGTCTCACAGAGCATGAGGCTGTGGATCATAATAGAGAATAGGGTGAGAGGAGGACTTTTACCCAGACCCCTAAGCTCCCAGACACGTCAGAGAATTCACTGTAGAAAGTAAAGAGAAGACTGTTGAAAGTAAATCTTCATAAACTGCTTTCTACACGGAGAAACCTGTCTAAACATAAAACGACAGAAGAACAAGAAATAGAAGTGAAAATGAAAAACTGCCCGGCGTGCGAAGGCAAACTGTGCAGGCCGGTGCCCCCGGGAAACTGATGGCCACAAATATAGCATGGAAAGTATTAACAAGCTTAATATATAGCGATTTTTAAAAGACACTAAAACCTTCACAGGAAACTAAAAGAACATGAAGCAATAATACGTGTTGGATTATGATGGATAATAATCATATAAAAAGTTTCAGTCTCACTAGTAGTAGAAAAAAAGCCAAACAAAATCAAGAGAGTGTAAAAGATCTTCCATCTTGATAGACACGTCCCTGGGGTGTGACGCAGCCTCACACGCGAGGGTGACGACTAAATCTCTCCAGAGAGTCATCTCCCTCCAAGAGGGATCAGGGCCCGTAATATGTCCCAACCCTCTGCTGCCGTGAAATCACTCACCGCTTCTTGGAATCTATTCTAAGGAAATAAGCAGAGATGCAGGCAAAGATTTTTATAAACAGAAGGTCACTTTCATTTTATTTTAAATGGTAAAAAAAAAAAAAAAAAAAAAACACAAAACCAAAAAACAGTATTTTAAAAGTTTTTTCCCCTCTCAGGAATTTTGAATGGAGACTTTGGAGCCAAATGTCTATCTAAAAATAGAACAACATTCTGGAAATAACAGTTGTGTCTACAGAAGAAATGTCTGCAGCTCCCAAATCAGTCCTTTTTCAGCTCCAGCTGCACACATCAATAAGAAATTAGCAACGATGTAAATACCCGAGAGTAAGGAGGTAGATAAATAAAAGATGAGGCTTCCTTGAGTTGAAATATTTCGCAGCCATTAAAAATGAAGTTTATGGAGTTTTAATGACGTGGGAAAGTACTTCTGATGTGATGTTAAATGAAAAAAAAAGCATGAAAATCTGTATTTTAGTAGCACTGCAACTGTGTAAATATACAAACCCATACAAAAAGAGCTGGAAGGGAAAACGCCGAATGGTAACGGTGTCAATCTCCAGCTAGTGGAACCGTGGGAGGATCTTTTCTTCTTTGTTTGTATTTTCTATGTTCTTGAATTTTTCTACAAAGATCACCAATTACTTTCAGAAAATAGAATATACCCATCCTGCTCCCCGCCGTAAAATCGTGTGGGTTTCTGAATAGAAGAGACAGCAGAAAGGCCAAGAAGCGGGGAACATAAGCCAGGGTGGCCACGGCATGGGGCAGGGAGGTGACAAAGTTGGCATCAGACCCCCCGGGCCTTGAATGCCAAGCCCAGCAGCTTGAGCTTCACCCAGAGCCCTATCTTTTGCCCAGGTTGAAAGAGGACAGAGTGCCCCTTCTTGAAAGTTAGGGCCTTCCAGGAGTAGGTACAGGTAGGAGAGCAGGGTATTGTGGAAGCTCCAGGTGCCAACTGCCTGCCTCTATCCCCCACTCTCCCCAGGGAAGAGTTTCACCCTGACCATCACTGTGTTCACCAACCCCACCCAAGTGGCCACCTACCACCGAGCCATCAAGGTGACCGTGGACGGACCCCGGGAGCCCAGACGTAAGTGCCACCGAGCCCCTGAGCCCCTGCATGGGGGAGGAGGGTCCAGTGCGGGAAGGACGGCAGCTAGGTCAGACAGATGGAGCCCTCCTGGGGGTTTGCAGTCCTTGGCTCTGTGCCCCCACACACTGTGTGCCTGCTGGCAAACCCCTAAACCATCTGGGCTTAGCATGAGTCTGTGGGAGGCCAGAGAGGAGGCCGGGAGTGGAGATGACTGTCCGTGGAGACTGCTGAGGGAGTCCAGGAAAGGAAAAGGATGGAGAAAGCTTTCAGATGTGGCATTTGTGGGGTGCTTGTGTGTTTCTGGATGGAGCTTGGGCCAGACTTGCTTTACGGTGCCCCCAGCTTCTCTGCCGGTGGCTGAGAGATGGGTGGAGGGCAGGAGTGATCAAAAGTCAGGGGCTGGCCTGGATGTGAGGCCAGGTCTCTTCCTTGGAAACTGGGTCTTTGAATCTTAGTGTGTGACTCGCTCAGGTCACCCAGAGCCCTGGCACCCAGACCCTACGAGCAGGGAGTTCTGGTCCATCAAAGCAAGTTTGTGTTTAATTCTCTCTGCTTGCTGAAAGTCAGATTAAGGCTGGGGAAGTGGGAGGGTAGGCCGAGGCTCTGTGTCCGCAGAATGAATGAGTGAATGAATGAAACAGAGCCAGCCAGCTTCCTGAGCTCCATCCACCTCCCCGAGGCATTTTTCAGCTTGGTGCACTGAGGGTTGGCCTGCCCCTCTCTTTCTCAGAAATGTGACCCTTTGCAGTTTAGAAGTCACTATTGAATGGGATCTTTGGGACAGCAGAGCCAGAGGGGTCGCCCAAGTTCTAGTGAGGAGAGAATCCAGGCCTGAGGGAGTTGGGTACCTGAATAGGACCTAATGCTGTGCAAGGTGCAGGGAAGCACGCCGGGCTTCAGTCTTCCCAGATGCAAGATTCTAGGCTGAGCAGGCCTGGGGCAGGAGGCCTCGCCCTGGGCTGGCCCCTCCCTTCTTGGGAGTCAGCTGGGCCTGGCACCCCATCATCCAATTCCTGGGCCCATCCCAGCATCTGGCCACTTGGGAAAGGCTTGGAGCTGAGCCCAGCAGACCTGGAAGAGTCTCTCTCCAGGGCTCTCAGGGTCACCTCTGCCAGCCCTGAGCCCCTGCACACATCCTCAGGCCTGCACGGTCAGCTCCCAGCCAGCACTTGCTCTGACCACACTCCTGCCGGTTCCTTCCTGCTGAGATCAGACATGGACCAGCCCATGCTCTTGGCCTTGGGCTTCATGACCCTAGGCAAGTCATGTCTTCTTTGTGGCCTCAGTTTTGTCATCTGAGAACTGGATCAGTGACTCCCAGAGTCTCAAGGCAGTGATGGCTGGGAAGCCCTCGTGAGCCGTAAACCACCATAGTGCAGAGAGCAGGTTGTGAGTCAGCCTTCCTGGCTGTGGGACCTTGGGCTAGTCATCTCCATGCCTCAGTTTCCTGAACTGAAAAATGAGATTCACACAAGCAGCTACCTCATGATGCTATTGCGAGGAAACAATGGCTAACTCTATAGAAATCTCTTAGCGGTGGGGGTTGGCGGGTAATCCGTCACTTTAGCCAGGGCTGTTATCTGCAGTGTGACCTAGGGCAAGTCACTGACCTCTCTGGGCCTCAGCTCCCTCCTCCATGAAGTGTGATGATGCCACCCACCCTGCGGGCCTGGAGGTCGGGGCGACGAGTGGACAGCACATGGCCATAGCACAGAGGGGTCCCATGAGTCACTGGGTCCGCAGCGTTCTGTTGTCCTCAGTACCCAGCCCCCTTCCTGCACTCCTACCACCACCATTAGTCAACGGTGAGCTCTCCCATGGGCAGCAGCTGGGTGGCTGCCTTGGTAATAGAACTGCAGGCATCAAGTCTCCATTGAAGGAGGTGGCAGGGTCAGCATGGGCAGGAGCCACAGTTGGGCTCAGGGTGGGGATGTGGCACTCAGGAGCCACTCCAGAAAGAGGGGAGCACCCAGTTGGTAGATGCTTGGGATAGGGGTCTTGAGGCTTGGTGGGAAGATCCCAAGGGACTGAGCAAGGTTGGCACCTCTGACAGCCCTCCATGCTCAGCTCAGCCCACCCCAGAGCCACCCACTCTGCCCTGCTGGGGCCCCTGGATGAGCGTGGAGACTCAGCCCTGCCTGTGGGAGATTCCAGCGGAATCCCCTGCCTGCTCTTCCCTGCCTGGGTCTCCCAGACCTGAGATGGCCCTTTCTGGGATGAGCTGGGAGGTAGAGGGGTGACTCAGGATGAGGCAACAAGAGGGAGGGACAGAGGCTGGGTCTGGAGACCCGTGGCATCAGAGGCCAGGCTTGCTGCACCACCTGTGACAGGTGGCCTCCCTCTCTGGGCCCCGGCAGGGGCCGGATCAATGGTTTTATTTACAGAACAGAGCAGAGATGGGGTGCCGGGGGGGCAGTCTACTAGGTCCCCCATCCTTAGGACCTGCCTGCTCCAGTCCCTGGCATATCCTGGCCCTGATATCAGGTGCCCCCCATACCCTGGGTTGCAGCCCCATTCCTTTGTCTTTGACCTTGGACAAATCCTTGGCCTTTCTGGTCCTCAGTGTCCCCATCTATAAGAGTGAAGGGACCAGCTCGGTGCCTCCTGGTCACTGAGCAACCTCCTCCCTTGTGCCAGGCCCTGTGCAAAGTCCCCATTAACTGCTCTGCTGGGCAGCCCCAGGAGAAGATAGAGGCCAGGGCGTAAAACCTCTTGCCCACAGTGACCGTCAGCACACCCTGAGGGCTCCGACCGGGGGCTCCGGGAAGTGAGGGCCACTTGGAAGGGCCTTTTCGCCTCAGTGCGCTCAGCTGTCAAATGCATGGTATTGGTGTCTGCCTCGGGGAGTCGCTGTGAAGGTTGACTGGGTTGACCATGGCCTGGCCCCAGGAAGTGCCCCACAGCCTTCGTGGGTTGTTACAGGCCTTTTGTGCTCCTGGACTTCCTTTCTCGGCTTTTTTCCTGTTTTGCCACCTCCGACCCTCTGAAATCTGAGCCTGCTGTGGGGTGAAGTGGGAGTAGGGGCTGGTCCTGGAAGCCAAGGACTGGGAATCTGTAGATCCCTGAGGCCGGCTGTGGGTTCTGTGGCCAGGTCGTTCCCCTCTGGTGCCCTGCAGAGCGTGCCCGGCCTGCAGCCAGGTGGCCAGCTGGGTTTGAAGGCTGGCTTGGTGGCTTCCTGCCTGTGTGGCCTTGGTTTCTGAGGTTCTCAGTGCTGGTGTCCCTCAGAGTCACTGGGGGCTGGTTAAGAAGCAGGTTGCTGAGCCGGGTCCAGGATCCCAGCAGGAGGGGCTGCGACACCTGGCAAGTCTGGCATGGACCACGGTGGGGGAACGGACCTCACTCCCACCTAGCCTGTGCCCGTTACCCCCTGCCCTCCCTCCCACACCCTGCTCTGGCCACCCTGGCCTCCTGGCTGGTCTTTGAACTTGCCAAGGACACTCCTGCCTCGGAGGCCTTTGCACTGCTCTTTTTTCTACCTGAAACACTCCTCCCCGGACACCCCCAGATGCATGGCCCACTCCTTCACACCCTAAAGCCTCTGCACTTCTCAGCAGCGCCCCTGTTTCAAGTGGCACACACACACAACCTTCCTCACCTCTCCCCTTTTCCTTCCTGGCTTTAAGGTCACCCCGAGCACTTACCACTACCACCTTCTAAGGTGCTACCTAGTTCGATAATTTGTTTCATTTGTTATTCATTGCTCCCATTTTGTTTTGTTTTGTTTTTTGAGATGGAGTCTTGCTCTGTTGCCCAGGCTGGAGTGCAGTGGCAAGATCTCGGCTCACAGCAACCTCCACCTCCCAGGTTCAGGAGGTTCTCTTGCCTCAGCCTCCCGAGTAGCTGGGATTACAGGCACACGCCACCACGCCCAGCTAATTTTGGTATTTTTAATAGAGCCAGGGTTTCACCATGTTAGCCAGGCTAGTCTTGAACCCCTGACCTCAAGTGATCCGCCCACCTCAGCTTTCCAATGTGCTGGGATTACAGGCGTGAGCCACTGTGCCCAGCCCCCTATTGTTTATGCTCTACAAGGGCAGAGTTCTTTTCTCTGGTTTGCCAGGCCTTGGTATAGCTAGACCCCGGGAACGCAGGCAGGAGCCCTTCATAGCTGCTCCATAAATCGTTGATGAATAAGCAAATGATTCATTAATGTCATTTCGGGTAGTGCGAAGTCCTATGAAGAAAAACAAAGTTGGGAGAAGGAGTGGAGGGTGCAAGGGATGGGACAAGGGGTGGGGCGGGGAGGCCGCCTGAAGAGGTGACCTTCAAAGGTGGCCTCCAGGGGCCTGAGGTGGGCAGCCAGCAGAGTGGCCGCCAAGGGTTTGGCGTGGGCAGGAGGAGTGACCCTAAGCCCACAGTTGGGCCTTTGAGGGCCTTAGAGTTTCTGCAGTTTCTTCCTGGGCCGAGGAGAGGCAACTGCTCCAGGTCCCTGGCTCCCAAGACCCCCACAACCTCCCGGAGTGTCCGCTGGGCCAGGAGCAGGGGAGGGGAGTCTGCCCAGCAGGAGGGAAGGGGTTAACCACAGACCTCCCGGATTCTCCTAATCAACCCCAGGCCGCTGGAAGCCCCACTTGCAGCCCCGGGAGGGAACCGCTGGCCTCCCTGCCCGCTGGCCCCCGGCCAGCCCGTTTCCCTGCCCAGCCACCGACCCGGCTTTCATCTGCTCACAGGGGGCCGATTCACAACAGACCACCCCAGGCCCGGCACCCGCCTGCGATTCCGCGAGGCTGTTAAGAGTCGGGTGTAAATCTCCTGACAGGCCGCAGAGCCGGCCTCGGGCCCGGCGCCCCACCCTGCTGCTGGGCAGACAGTGGCTGCTGTGTCTGGGTCACAGCCGCACCAGGCGGCCAAGAAGGCTGCCGAGTGGCTTCAGATGGGTGAAGGGCCTGGTCATTGGAGCCCACACTGTCCCCAGCCCACGATGCTGTTCCTGTGGCCCTGCCCGACTCTGCTTCTCCCAAGAGGCTGGACACTGAGCTGGCCTCTTGCCTGTCGGA